CACACACATATATATACATATACACACACACACTACAGTACTATACACAAGCTATATATATTTCCTCCTTCATCTATGTAAAGAGAAATATGTGCTTTACAATAATGAATCATTCTTGCCTGGCTGGAGTGGCTTAGTTAGTTGAGTGTCATCCCATGCACCAAGAGGTTGCCGGTTCAATTCCCAGTCAGGGCACATGTCCGGGTTGTGGGCTTGATTCCCAGTAGGGGGCGTGCAGAAGGCAGCCTACCAATGATTCTCTCTCATCACTGATATTTCTATCTATCCTCTCCCCTCCTCCCTCTCTAAAAATAAACATATTAAAAATAATAATAATGAACCATCCTTATGTGTTGCTCTGTACATTGTTATCATTTATTGTCACTGAATTAAGACCTTGCTAGCTAACTAATCACCCCCAAACCCTATGGACTTAAAATAACAGCTGTACTACCTCTCACCCGGAAGCTGGGTATACGCTAATGCTGGCCAAGCTCAACAATCAGCACAGAAAGCAGAGATTCAATAATGAAAAAAAAAAAGCCTAAACATGACTAAAGAAGTACTGTTAACAGTGGAAATGTCACCTCCAGGTGTTGTCCTCCCGACTGATTTTTCTTTAGACTTCTCATCCCTTTCCAAGTTTCCTATATTGACTATAAGTTTATAATCAGAAAAAGCTAAAAAAAGTTTTCTTACTCAGAATATAATTTTACACATAATACAAAAAAACAAACAAAAACACACACCACAAAACAGAGGCTTAGAATAAAGGAGAAAAGCCGAAGTGACGCCCACAAAATTATCACACAGTTCTCCTGGCTGGTGGCATGAGAGGTGCTTGTTCCCTTACCCTTTCCTACACTTCGCCATGTTTCTTTGTGAACGTCATGACTTCCAAAGCAACACGCCGACACCTACCTCACGACGATGAGCATGGCTATGAGGATGGAGCAAATAGGGTCTGCGATCATCAGACCAAAGTTCTGCATCAGGAGGGCGGACACGATCACCCCGATGCTCCCCAGCGTGTCTGCTAGGATGTGCAGGAACACACCTACAAACAGATCATCGCATCAAAACGCAGCCGAGCAACTGGCAATGCAAACATTTCTTGAAACCATCGTATTTCCCATGTGAAGTCCTACATAATAATGTGAAAATGGCAAGGCTGTGGAATAACTGTTAGTAATGAAGTAATAGAACCTTGGGGACTGGAATACTCTTTTCTGTTTCAATCAGCAAGGCTCACCACACCTGATGCAGAGTCCCATAAAGGAGGAAGCAGAGCAAGGCATGGAATCTAAAAATCGTTTGTGCACATTCATCTCTGGTGAAAAGAGCCCAGAAGTTAACAATTTAGAAAAAAACGTCATTGGCAGAAAGAACCTGTCAAGAAAACATCGCTAAACTTACGGGTCATGGACACAGAGAGCCCCCTGCTGGTCGCTAAAATTATCATCTGAGACGAATTACCTACAGACCTTAACTATTAAACTTGACAAACTTATTATCCTGAAGACTTTGTTACCTCAAGTTACATACAGAGCTCAAACTTGATATAAAAGTAGAAATTTTAATATTTTAAATTGGATGTAAATATATTTGAACTTTTAATAATTAAATATTAAATTAGTAGGATTCTAACGGTCTAAGAACCTAGATATAATATTAACATTTAAGAATTGACACGATGGAAAAACCATTTTAAAATGTCAAGAAGCAAATTTAACTAGCAGATTATTCAACATTTAGATCTTTAATAGATAAAATGTACTGTATGGCAAAACACCATTTCTTAAAATGTCTCTTAAAATACATATTTTTGTGTGCCACAGAATTTTAGCAATTGGTTTATGTGTGCCATGAGATGAAAAAGGTTGAAAATCGCTGCCCTATACAACTTCAACCAGACCTTGCTAAAAATAGAACATTCTTCAACAGCATCAACTACTTTAGCTGAAAAGAAATATCTAACGTGTAAAAAGCATGGTCTACTTTAAAAATACTTATTTTTCTTGTTTTTTATTCACTGACAATTTTTTAGATGTAAAATATACATTTGCTTAAACTTGAAAACACTTCCTAATAATTTAAAAAAAGACTATTAGCCCTGGCTAGTTTGGCTCAGTGGATAGAGCATCAGCCTGTGGACTCAAGGGTCCCAGGTTTGAATCCAGTCAAGGGCATATACCTTGGTTGCGGGCACATCCCCGGTGGGGAGTGTGCAGGAGGCGGCTGATTGATGTTTCTCTCTCATCAATGTTTCTAACTCTCTATCCCTCTCCCTTCCTTGCTGTAAAAAATCAATCGAATATATTTTTTAAAAAATAAATAAATAAAAATGGACTACTAACCAGTCCAATCAAATCCTAATGCACTCTGGGAAAATACATTTCAATTCATCTGCCACCGTGGAATTTTATATCAAGTATTATAGCAAATGTAATTCATTCCTCAGTAGCTATTACCTTTTCATTGTATAGGGTAGCAATTTTCAACCTTTTTCATCTCATGGCACACATAAACCAATTACTAAAATTCTGTGGCACACCAAAAAAATACATTTTTTTGCCAATCTGACGACATAATTTTTAATGACTCACACACAAATAGTAATAGTAACTACCTACCCTTTTTAGCTCCAAAGTAACTTTTTAAAAAGTCAGGTACCTATACTTATAAATTAGGATTTCTGGTACCAAGAATTAACCTACCAGATGCAACCTTAAAATGCAATTATGCAATATAACTAATAAGATGCAACTCTATTGTATAACCTGTATATTTATGGTTCAAAACAGGACATTCACACCAGATGAATATTGCCATTTTTTTATTCAACCACTTAAAGAAAAAGAGGTCAGTGCCCCTGACTAAATAGTCAGGAATTGCATGTTTTAAAAATTCTTGCAAATCGCTGGGATAGGGTATTGACCTTTATAACAATTCTTCAAAAAAAACAATGGCTCTTTTTTTTTTAACCTTTGTAACAATTCTTTAGGGAAAAAAACAACGGCTTTTTTCTATCACAAAAATATGTTAGAGGCACCTTATAGGAAAATATACTTCATTTCCCTAGGGTATTTCAATAGCAAAGAATAGTAAGTGTTGGGATCACCTTAAGCTTTAAAATTAACTGGAAAAAGATACACAGCAAAGTGGATTGAGGGGCCCCACGCTTCAAAACTCTTAAGGGACATGTGTGATTTTTAAATCTTTATTATTTTTTAATCAGTGTTTCGGTGGGATCAGAATTGAAAACAGCTCTAAACATCAGAAGAAAAAGAAAAGAACTGTTTGTTTTTTATTTTCCTTTGGGAAGTCCTGGCTGCATCTCATTTACTGACCTGACCACTGGTTTTCTTAGCAATATGAAATGCGGCAAGAAGCTGACAAGTTCAGCTCATCAGTTCTCCACGTGGGAGCATCTGTACGGAAAAGGTGTAGTAGCAGGCGGTCATCCCTGTCCTCAGCCATCTGCTGGGCTGCCACAGCCACCATAAGTTGGTGGGCACTTAGAGAATATAAACTAATGTTCACAACAGCTGTATAAAAGATAATTAGGAAGGCAGATCTAACCTCCCCTCACACAGTGATGATTTCGCAACTAAAAATGAACTCTCAGTATCCAGGCTCATTGACGGTATTGGATATAGACGCACTCCTTATGCGTCATTACAAGCTATTTCAGCAAAGGCTGTTTTAAGACAAATCTGTACATTTTGCAAATGGGAAACTGGGGCCTGGAAGACACGCTGAAGTGCCTGAAATAACCTCCTCAGTATAGAGGAGCAAATTTACAGGGAAATGTCAAAAGCGAGAGCTGCCTCGGAAGCAGGGGAGATAAGCGGGTGTAGCAGGACCAGATCACAAACTCCTGAGAAGGTCAGGCCGAAGTCAAGTTCATAAAGGCAGAAGGATGGGCAGCTGGGACTCAGAAAACTGGACAATGAAGTCTAAGTGGAAATTCCGACCGAAGATTGGTTCCCATCCCAAAACAGGAACTACCGTAGTTCACAGACAAGACGGATCTTCTCTGGCTCATCAAATTTGGGAATACACTGTTTGACATGATAGGGAAGCTCCTGTTTAGGTATCATTTTTGATGCCTGTGGATATAACTGAGGTCTCACTTCGCATTACATTTTTTAAAAATATAATAGACTTTATTTTTGAGAGCAGTTTTAGGTTCACAGCAAAATCAATGAGATTTTTACACCCTCTGCCCCCACACATGCACAGCCTCCACATTGTCAACATCCCCACCAGGTGTACATTGGTTACAACTGATGAAACATCGTCCACACATCATTGTCACCCAAAGGCCACAGTTTACTTTGGGGTTCACTATGGCCACTGAACATCTTTGGGTTTGGATGCATTGCATTTGTAGCACTAAATTTTCCTCAACATAAATACATATGGAATATTATTCTTGGAAAAATTATTTAATAATCCTGCAAAGGTAAATATACTACTATGATGTTACTATAGTCATTGGGATGGGTAGCGTTTATACTTATGCAGTATCGTTTCTGAATATTTTATTCTCCTGATTACATCTACAGCCAACTGACAATTAAAATAAAAGAATGTCTTTAGTACATTATAAAGTTGAAAAGGAAGAAAGAAAATTGATGCTAAAACCTGTCATAGGCTAGTAAGTGTTATTTATCCATAAACTGACATATAAGAAAATTCACTAGGAAGGCTAACGTTTTAAACACAAATACTATGTTAAAGGAAAACTATGAAGCCAGCTTCGTGGAACAGAAATGGACAAGTGCCTTGCCATACCTTGTAGAATCTGTCTGCTGGGTCCTGCTGTCTGTTTGAAGGAGGGACCATCTGCAGAGAGGTAAGTTATATTATTTTAGAACATGTCTTCAGTTCCTGATGCAATGTTTGCGATTCAGAGTACCTTTCATTCAAATGTATCGCGAAGGATGCATGACTATACAGCCACGTCAGACCTACAAAATTACGTTTAAAACTTAATATAGTAATAGAGAAAAACACTGTCATTTTGCTGTGTGGGGACAAAATATGTAGCCACCTGCCAATCCTGTAGACAGTCAACAGTGTACCTGTTCTCAGTGCCTTATCCAGGCACCAGATTTGTCTACAGGCTGTCAGCCCAGGTACAGACAGTCACTCTGACAGCTATTCGGAGGTGTCTCTGCTGCACTGGCATTAGAGCTACAGGAACAACATGACCCC